AGAGGAAAGGAGAGACGGCGAGCGAGAGAGAAGGGGAGGGCGCGCAAAAGAGAAGGAGAGAGAGAGAGAGAGCGCGAGCGAGAGGACGTAAGCATCAACAGTCAGTTTGAAGTCATACATACATTACATATATAGTGGCCTATCTATATGAACCACACCGTGCGTGTGTGCATGTGTATATGTGCGTGTGTGTGCGCGCACTCGCGCGAGTGTGTACGTATGTGTGTGCGTGAGTGAGCGCGCAGTGCGTGTTTCTCCTGTGTGTGTGTGGTGTGTGTGGTGTGTGTGTGTGTGTGTGTGTGTTGTGTTGTAGTGTGTATGTGTGTGCCGTATTTGTGTGTGGTGGCGTGTGTGTGATGTGGTGTGTGTGTGTGTGGTGTGGCGTGCTGTGTTTGTCTGCTGTTCGTGTGTGTGTATGTTGTGTGTGTGTGTGGTGTTGTGTGTGTGTGTGTGTCAGTGTCGTCGTGTGTGTGTGTGAGTGTGTGCGTGTGTGTGGTGGTGTGCGGTGTGTGTGTGTGTGTGTGTCTGTGCGCGTAGTGTGTGTTGATGTCCTGTCTGTGTCGTGCTGCGGTGTGTGTGTGTGTGTTGGTGTGTTGTGTTTGTTCAGTGAATTGTGCGTGCTGCGTGGCTGTGTGTGTGTGTGTGTGTGTGATGTGTGTGTGTGTGGTTGTGTTGTGTGTGTGTGTGTGTGTGTCTGATTCGCTGTGTGCTGCCCTTGATGATCACAGCTAACTGGGTCTAGCGGGAACTAACACTGCTGCGTATTACATCATCCCATATTAGTGTAACAGATTGCTGCATTGATTCCTCGCTTGTTGCCTCCATAAATAGACAATCAATGAGCGAAAGCTCTCTCTCTCTCTCTCTCTCGTCTCCTCTCTCTACTCTCTCTCTCTCTCTCTCTCTCGTCTCTCTCTCTCTCCTCTCATCCTTTCTCTCGCTTCTCTCGTCTCTTCCTCTCTCTCTCGTCTCTCTCTGTTCTATCGCTCTCACCCCCCTCTTCTCACACACGACACAACACACACACACATCACGACACAACCACACGAACACACACACACAGCGCGCGAGCACGACACACACACACACACACACACACACACTAGTCCCTCTCTCTTGCTCTCCCTTCTCTCATCACTCGCTCTCTGCCCTTTTATATTACCCTCTGCCCACGCTGTGTTGTTCTCTTCTCTGCCTCTCCCTTCGCTTGCCATCAATCACCCTTACTTCATCCCCCACTCTCCTCTCTCCACTCCCTTCTCATCCGCCCCACCTCTACTCCCTCCCTTCTCATCCCCCACTCTCTCTCCCTGCCCTTCTTCATCCCCAACCACCTCTTGAATCTTACATAATTAACGGCCAGGATCCGTTGCGCCCTCATCTTCCTCTCACCCGCTTTTCTCCTTCAATCATTTTCTTGCGCTTTCCCCAATCCCTCGCATAATTCCTTCCTCTTCTTTCTTCTCAATTCTCATTCTCATTCTCTTCTCCCCCCCCCGAATCCCACCCACTCCTACCTCCAACGCGTCCCTCTCCTCATTACTCTCTCCCTCTCTCTCTCGTCACTCTCCTTTCTCCTGAGAACATCGCCTCTCTTCATCAATCTCTTTATCTCTCTCTCTCTCGGCTCTCTCTCGTTATCTCTCGCTCATCTCTTCTCTCTCTCGTCTCTCTTCTCGGCGCATCTCGCTACTCTTCCATCTCTCGGCGCTCTCTCCTTCTTCTCGACTCTCTCTTCTCTCTCTTTATCTTTCTCTTTCTCTTTCAATCTACTCTCTCTCTCTCTATCTATCTTTCTCTCTCTCCTCCTCACTCTCTCTCTCTTCTTTCTCTATCTCTCTCCTCTTTCTCTCTTCAGCTCTCAGCCTCTCCGGCTCCTCTCCTCTCCTCTCTCGTCTCTATCTCTCTATCTTTTCTCTCTTTCTCTCTCTCTCGCTCTTACTTTACTCTCTCTCTCTCTCTTCTCTCTTCTCTCGCTGCTCTCTTATCTCTCTCTCTCTACTCTCTCTCTCGTCTCTCTCTCTCCTCTTTCTCTTCTCTCTGTCTGGTATATCCCGCCGACGTTGTCCGCGGGTCGGAATGTGCTCCTTCCTCCTCTCCTCTCTCCTCCTTCTCCTCCTCCTCCTTTCTCGCTCCCTAAATCACCTTTCACGCGTCTCCCTCTTTCCAGCTCGCCCAGCCGTACGCCCATCGAGAGAGGAACTCGTCAGCGGCGCGACGACGCCCGACGACCGGCCTCGGCAACCAACCGACGCAATCGTCCCACACGACTTCCCTCATCGAGCTAGAAGAGATCGCAAGATTAAAGATCTAAGCTTCAAACCGACCTGGTTCGCGTCGCATCTTCTCCGCCGTCTCCAGTGCCGCGCTGCCGATCGGCCAACGCTACTAACAGGTCGGAGGGTGGTGCCTGGCGGGCGGAGCGGCAGGTGAGAGAAGACACGCGCGCTACGAGAACGCGGCTCGACACGGGTGTCGCGGCTTTCTATTTCCGATCTGCTTCGTCACGTCGAACAGTGTTTCTATTGGTGTTCTATGTGCGGCGATCCGGATACGCGTTCGCACGCGTCGCGTCACGGGCGATACGAACAGCACGCATAGTGAATCTGGACGATCTAGAGGCCTTATAATTGCACAATAGAGCGGCGGGCGAGATGGAGAGCAGATGCACGCACACGCCACGCACGCACTTCACGTGAACGCTCGCGCGCATTCAAACATACTACACTCACGCACGCGCGCACATGCGCACGCATACACGACGCCCTATTTCTGCGCGTGCACACACCCCAACCACACAACACACACGCACGCACGCAGACCCTTACCAAACGACAACACGCACACCCACGCAGCACAGAAACAAACGACGGATATAGGCATATAATTCGATCAATGCTGTGCACGGCCCGCGAGCCCCAACGCAGGCGCACGAACCGAGAGTGTGTCTATAAGAGTGAGTTGAAACACGGACTGACTGGCCTCTTTCCCACGACAATGCGTGCGTGCTGTTATTATTAGAATGTGATATTAATATATTAGTTATATATATATATATATATATACATATATATATATATATAGATATATATATATATGATAGTAATAGTGCTTACGTTACCACGTGCTATATTTAGAGGAATAGTTATGAATATCGTTACGCTAGTATTAGGAGAGAAATATCAGAGCGAAAGAGGAAAGAGAGAGAGAGAGAGAGAGGAGAGAGAGAGAGCAGAGAGAGAGAGATGAGTGCAGAGATGCGAGAACTGAGAGCAGACTAGCAGAGATGGGGCGGAGGAGCCGCGGGTGTGGGCCATATCGACAGAAGACGGAGGTAGAAGCGGTTCCTAGTGGGACAATATTAATGTATAATGTACTCTCCTCCATCTCCCGTTCTCCATCGATTCGTGCTCTAATCTCCTCTCGCCCCTCCCCCCTCTCTCTCTCTCTCTCTCTCTCTTCTCGCTCGTTCTCTTCGCTCGCTCCTTCTCTTTCATATCTCTTGCTTCTCTCCCCTCTCTCCTGTTCGTCTCTCTCTCTCTCTCTCTCCTCGTCTCCTCGTCTCTCTCTCTCTTCTCTCTCTCTCTCTCTCCCTCTCTCTCTCTCCATCTCTCTCTCTTCTCCTCTATCTCTCTCTCTCTCCTCTCCCTCCCGCCCTCTCTTCTCCTCTCTCATCTCTCTCTCTCTCTCCTTTCTCTCAGTCGCTCTCTCTCTCTCTCTCTCCGCTCTGCTGTTCTCCTCTCTTCTCCGCTGACCGACTAACACCCCGTATATATGCGTATCCTCTGCGTTGCCCTACGTTAAGTACTGTTTCGTGCTTGGAATTTCTGCTTCACTAACGTCTCGCCTGTGGGGGAGGGGAGGGGGAGGGGACAGGGGACCGATAGGAAAGCGGTTCTACTCAATCATAGCTCAATGTAATAAAACTATCAAGTGCCTCCTTTTCTACGAGAGCTTCATCTGGTCACGTTGCGGTGGTGGCTTCGCAAGCCGCGGCCGCGGCACGGCAGCACCGTCGCCTCCGGACGTGACGTATAAGCAGTGTCGTGACGTCAAGTCGATGAGTCACATCTCGCGCGCGCGCGCGTGCGTGCGTGCGTGCGTGCGCGTGTCTCCGTGCGTGTGTGTGTATTTGTACTAGCTTCGTAGTTGTTGTTGTGCTGCTGTCTTGGCTCTCAAACGCGACAGGCCCGCCCTCTAGCTGCAAACGAACGAACTACGCATATACCACGCATGCATTTACTGTTATGCGCACGCGTACACATACATATACACGCACGCGCGCACTGTTACACGCACGCGCGTACTGACGCTTCCTGGTCAGCGGGTGGGACTTACCTTTAACGACGGATTTATATCTCCGACGTTCTGTGATAGAGGGAGGTTTAAACATGTGAACCCACCCTCCTTCACAAGCCCACAACGCGTGAAGCGTGTGAAAACTCGCTTTCTCACATCGTCCGAGCTTGAAGCATGTTAGAATATACTCATGTACATCCTCGGAGCTTGAAGCGTGTGAAAATCTGCTAGCTGATACATCGACTGAGCTTAAAGCGTGCTGTAATAGTGAATTCCTGCGAAATTAGAGAAATTACTTATTTTCTTTGACAGACACGTCTCTTTGGGTGTCGAATTTTCACATACAGTGTGTATCACTATTCGACAGTCTACCAGTCTGTGTGTCGAATGTACGCACACGGATTTATCACTATTGTACACACGAACAAATTGTACGCGTCGAGTGAATTAACAGCGTGTGCGAATGTTAAATTAATGTTACCTCTACGAATTAATTGAATTAATTGACACATTCGCCTAGCGTGGTTGACATAAGTGGCTGGAGCCAATTATTGTTGCGATAGGACATTCTAAAAACAAAGCTTGGCAACGAAATGCAACGAAAGTCGACAGTATGGTATGCCTCATGACCTACGACCCGTGACCTTCAACTCGTGACCCACGACCTCGACACGTTTCTGACGTGCCGACGTCTCCGTTAGAAGAATTCGAATTTCTTACCTGCTGCTATGACAACGACGTCGGCCTCACGGCGGGCGTGGCGACGACAAGACGGTTGTTTACACCAGGGGGCGTGGGCGGCTGGCTTCCTGTGACGTCACCGATGACGCTCCACTGTGCACGCAGCGTGCAGCTGGGAAGTTCCCGACGCGAGCGCTCGCGGCGAGCCGAATATGGTTACTACTAAAGTCGAATGACTGGCATCGCCTGTTATTTGTATTTCTTTAACGCGTATTGTACACTAATTCTTCTAACTCCATTAGTCAGTGCCGAGTAGCAAAAAAATCTTCTAAAGATAAAATCACAGCGTCTTCCATTCAGCAGATGCCAGCGGAATAAACCGTTTTGCTAATTAATCAAGAATGTTTTGGGGCGTAAAAATCTTTCCGCCACGCTCATGCTCGTCTGCTTTCTCTGTCTAACGCTACGCGCGCGTAGCGGGATATGAAAAACACAAGAAGACATTCATCATTATCGACACGCAACATATAGCGGGCGAGCTAATAACCGCCTCAGCGATCCGGACACGAGGGGCGTGTGCGTCCTCAGGCAGTAACGGACGAGGTCAACGCTCGCGTGCGGCCGGTGTCGTCATGGACAGCGATGCGAGATCGTCTGCCTGTCGCGTCGGTGGCGCGCCTGTCCGTGATTAATAACTGATCTAAGAAATCGTGTCTACCGGATCCGCTTGGTCCGCGATAGAAAGATGCGAAAATACGGCCCAAACGGCGCGAAGAACCGTGAGTGATTAGATGTATTAAATGACGTGTGCTGTGCGTGCGTGCGTGCGTTGCGTGTGTTGGGGGGATGTTGTGCGTGGCGAGCAGTGCGACGTGTGTTACCGTGCGTGCGGTGTGTAAGCGGGAGGGGGTATTCGATTCACATTAGGGGAGAATGGAATATCGAGCATAAAATTTTGCGGACGTACCACCTCTTATGATTACAGCCCCTGAATGTGTGCACAGCAAGCGACAGAGAGAATGAGAGTAGTACGAAAACAGACAGACAGAAAGACACAGAGAAGAGAGAGAGTAGAGAGAGACACCAGAGGAGACAGACAGGAAGCAGAAGAGAGAGAGAGAGCAGAGAGAGAGAGAGAGAGAAGAGAGAGAAGAGAGAGAGAGAGAGAGAGCAGTAGAGAGAGAGAGAGAGACAGACAGACAAAGAGAGAGGAGAGAAGAGAGAAAGACAGAGAAGAAAGAGAGAGAGAGAGAGAGAGAAATAAATAAAAGGGGAGAGAGAGAAAGAGAAAGAAAGAGAGAAAAAGAGGACACGGGGGTTTAAGAGTAAGGGAGAGGGTACGGTGGCGAGCCCAGCAATCGCCGTTTTCAGTAAACTCCTGATAATCCACCTTCATCTCTGTTTTCGCATGGCCGCGAAAAACGCAGGCAGCGGCTCACAGCTGAGCCCGATCCTGAAATCATTATTTACATCTCGCCAATTTTTATTTGATTTTTATCTCATCCCGATTTTTCTTAAGCAAAAAAATATATCCCGGGCAATCGATGATGCGCGCGCAAGCACACACAGAGTTCGACTGCAAGCATGACAGCAATGCAAGAAGGAACCTAGGAGATAGAGGAGAAGCGGGAACGGGAGAGAGAAGGGGTAGGGAGAGCGGCAGCGAAAGAGAAGAGGAAGAGGGAGAGAGCGAGAAAGTGAGTGGGGAGGGGAAGAGAAAAACAATGAGAAGGAAAAATGCCGCTGCGGAAGAGGAGAGAGCAGATTCAGGCAGCGAACCAGGCAGTGCAGCGCAGGGCCAGGCGCAGTCAGGCTGGCAGGTAGGGCAGGCAGGCAGGCAGGCTAGGCAGGTAGGCAGGCAGGCAGGCAGCGCAGGCAGGACGGAAGGCAGCGCAGCGCAGGCAGGGCAAGCAGGCAGGAACCCATAATCAATAACACGGCCGCGCGTAAACGCAACGATATAACTGCGCAAGAGCATTACGAGTAATCTACATGGCTGGTATTCTCCTGTCGTCGTAGTAGTGATGCTGCTGCTGCTACTGGCTGGCTGCTGCTGCTACTTAGCCTGCGTTGCTAAGCTGCGCTGGCTGCTGCTAGTGCTACTCGCTGGGCTACTAGCTAACGCAGCAGATACCTCTATCTGCTGTTGCTAACTTTAAAATAAACGAAATGGAAGGGGAGTTGGGCTTAAAACAAGGCGTGAATACTATAAAAGCTGGACGTAACGGCGGCGTTGCTTATTGGGATGCGGAACGGACTGTCACTGCGAGCGTCTCGTTATATTTGAAATGAGGAAGCTCAGGCCTCGGTGGCAGAGAGGGCTGCTGCTGCTGGCTCGCTGCTGCTACGCTGCTTAGCTGGCTTTGCTGCTGCTACTCGCTGTTGCTAACTGCTGCCTGCTACTGGCTGCTGCTCGCTGGCTACTAGATGCTTACTAATGATGAAAAAAAGGCTGCTGCTGGCTGATGGCTGCTGCTCGGCGCTGCTGCTGCTACCACTGCTGCTGCGCTAACACTGCTGCTGCTGCTGCTGCTCGGAGGCTGCTGCTGCTGCCTGGCTGCTGCGCTACTACTACTTACTAACTGCTGCACTTCTCTACTCGGCTGCTTACTAGATGCTACTACTAGCTGCTGGCTGGCTCGGCTGGCTGCTGCTAGCTAAGTCTGGGCTGCGCTGCTGGGCTACTACTTACTATTCACTGCTGCTGGGCCTGCTGGACGGCTGTCTGGCTGCTGCTGCTTGGAGTGGTGGTGGTGGGCGGTGCTGTTGATTGCTGCTGCTACTGCTGCTGCTTTGCTGTTTGCCTGGCTGGCTGCTGTTGCTAACTACTGTTGCTGCTGCTGCTACTACCACTACTGTTATTGCTGCAGATGCAGGAGGCTGCAAACACCGACAAGAAGCCAGCCGCCCCGGCATCCGTTACCCTGGTTACCACAGCCACAACCTAGTACTACTAATGGCAACTACTATTAGACTAGCAGCAACCATCCGCAACATAACATAATGTATTATAGATATATCGCAGCACCATCACAAGCATGCTACCCCCTCAACCCCCGCGCTGACAATCTTGTAAATAGATGAGACCAAGCCGTGTGTAAACGATCAGGCGATAATAAATACTTTAATTTTGATTTTTAAAAAAACAACAAAAAAACACCTTTGTTCGAGTTTCCGTGCGCAAACGCAAAACACTTGAACATCTTCACCACAAGGTGGCGCGACGGTCGGCAGAACGCAGCCAGCAGACGACGAGCGACGAAGTGGTCGGAGATAGTTTGATAGTCTGTACAACAAAGCTCCTCGCAGTTTTATTTCCCCGTGGCAACAGATCATACACACTCGTGCGTGCATTACTCGCTAAAAACATATATATATATAATGCTGCGTGAATTCTCAAGTATAGAATTCTCTAGTATGGTGGCCCAGATGGCTATCACGTCCCGCTAATAGTCGAAAGAGGAAAACAACAAGAGCTGGTGATACTGCTGTGCCCCCTCTAGCCTTTAGCGATGAGTTTAATGGTCGTTTGGTCCACCACACTCGAGTTTTATCGATCCACCGCCGCGGCAGGATAGCGTAACCGTAATATGATGCTGCTTGAACAAGGCAGAACACATAAAATCTTTTCTCTCTCTCACCGCCGCCGCCGCCGCCGCAGCCGCCGCCGCCGCCGCACACACAATAAACCACCACCGTAATAGACCATCAGTACAGAGTGCGGCAGACGCGTTAAGGTCAGCTTCAAGGCCAAGGTCAATTTCAATGTCACATTCACGTTGAAGGTCGAGCCTCGGTCACTTTTCGACGGTAGGACCGATCGGCAGACGCGCTCCGGGCGTTTACGTGACGGATGCTCTTGTGTCGTCGGCACGATCGCCCACTACTACGCCCGAGCATCGATAACGAGAGGGCGCTGCACGACCAGGGGCGGAGAAGCGTCGTCGATAATCGCGCCGCCGCCGTCACCGCGGCAACGCCCAGCTCCGAATTTAAATATGCAAAGCGGGGCGCGCAAGAAGAAAAAGCGCCCCCCCCCCACCCCACGGGACGGTAATCGCGCCTCGGCCATCACGTATCACGCGTGAGCGGAGCTTCAATCAATCGACGGACGAAGCCGAGAGAGAATTCGATTAAATCCGACGCAGCAGCAGCAGCTACTGCGGACGGGAGGGAGAGCTGGATTCTAATCCGCTCCGAGTCGCGCATTAGAGACGAACGGGATAATCACGGGACGACGAGAAACGACGAGGGCGACAAGTGCGCTTTTTGTTGAATAATTATTTATCGAAATAAATATCGCGTGTCACGATAACGCGTCGGCGAAACGCGTTTAACCGTCGCATCTGCGCGCGCGCGCGAGCGGCGAGCTATTTATAGATGTCGTTTGGGGTCGAGGGTCGATCTGCGTGGTGTGCGTTCGTGCGCAGCTGCGTGCACGCACGACGGATGAAATCGTAATCGAATAGATGTACGTGCGACAATCACGCGGAATTGACCTCCTACTCGGCGAACGTTGGCCCGCGAGTCTCTATTTACAGAAACATCAGCATCACAGCATTCCTCCGGTCGGCATATCAGCTGATCCGCATCCCAGCATCCCAGTATCCTAGCATTCCTCCAGTCAGCATCCCAGCATCCCTCCGATCAGCATCCCAGCATCCCAAGCAGTCAGCTGCATCCCTCCAGTCAGCCATGCCGTATCTGGCCAATAGAACATCCATAGCATCCAAGCATCTCGCCCAGTCAGCATCCAGATCCCAGCATCTTGCAGTCAGCATCCAGTCATCCCTGCATCCTTTGGAATCCGCGTCAGATCCTGATTCCATGAAATTTCTTGCATTCCGCAGTCAGATCCCAGCATCCTGATCTTTGCATTCGCCAAGTCGTTCATAACCAGCATTCAAATCGCAGATCTGCATACCTAGGCCATCCCTACGATATGCATTCCTGCATCCTCGAATCAGCATCCCAGACATCCTCAGCAATCTTGCGTATGTGATTTTACGAGATGAGAGGCCCCGTCGGCTTCGCATCACAATCCGCGAGAAGCAGACGAAGTCCGTCGGTCGAGTCGTCCGTGTTGGATCGTTGTTGTTCGTCGCACCAACCGCGCCCGGGTTGTGGGCCAGAGCGCCACTCTACCACATGCTCCCGGTTATTGTCGCGCCGCCTCCCGCGCGCTGTTTTGCATGTTGTCGTCTGTCCCGTGTTCTGCGTCGTCGCGGCGTTCCTGCGAATCCCGGAGCAGTCCTGGATAATCACAAAACAAAATCGAGGACGGGACGATAGCGGGAACACACATTCAAGCCACCCCGCGTAGATGGACAGATGGGGCCTTTCCCTGTTGCCAATCGGGCCGGCGAAACGGTGGGGCGGAGGCACGGCTTCCGTCGGAGAAGTTTCGAGAGGGAGGAATATGGTGGTTGTACTGCTGCTTGTCGTTCGATCAGCGGGGCCCGGTGGTTATTTTGACCCCAAACGTTTTAGGAGATCTGTTTACCGTGTCCGGGTAGTTCGTATAAAGATGACATGTTACAGTTTTGGAATTTAGGCCGTGGGCTTGGTCCGAGTGTGTGATAGGATGTTTTCGGAGGAGAAGCAGATTCGAGAATGAAAGTGGAATCAAAAATTGTGATTATATCGATTAGGCCAGGAAAAATCGGAGGTGGGCGGAAGCACCACCACGTGGATCATTTTTGTCGACGACACGACGGGCTGGTATAATCTCTGCATATTGCACGTTGCGAAATCCCGAGACAGACATGCAGACCAAGATAGTAAGGACTTATACACAAGAGGAAGCTGACCGCCATATCCGGCCAAATCTTAAGCATATGTTGCGTCATAGTTGCCTTGGAAACAGAGATTAGTGTTCTATTGTCTCTGGCGAGTTCGAGTCTGCACGAGCCGTTTAGGTGATTTATGCGTTCCATAGATGGCGTCCGTTGGTAGGGCGGAAAAGGGCACACAGCCATCCGCTCCTTCTTGTGTATATTTAGCTCCTTGCATGAGACGGCGCGGACGCCAGGGGAGCCGGCACACTATATCTAGACGGTAGATACGCTCCCTATATATTGCAGGCCGGTTAGAAAAAGAAAGAAGGTCCGGAAAGCAAATGTCCAATTAGTTTTCCGCCGAGCCGAACCGCAGCGGCGCGGGCGATAGCAGCGCGTTCTCGCCCGGCGCGCTCATAAACAAGAGAACGCGACGCGTCACTCGGAGATCAGTTTATTTTCCGATAAACAAATGCGGGGGGAAGGTTGCACCAATATTTTATATCTCGGCTGTTGGTGCACTCTCCTGTTGTTGATGTTAGTCCTTGTCCATTCTCACAAAGGTTATAATGGCTGGTATGCTATGACTACATGGTGTATATATATACTATTAAATGTCGATAAATATATATAGTAATATATATCGAGGAGAGAGAGATATGAGAGAAAACGATGATAGAAGGAGAAAGAGAGAGAGAAGAAGAGGAGAGAGGAAGCAAGGACGAAGAGAAAAAGAGAAGAGAGAGAGAGACATGAGACGAGAGAGAGATGAGAGGACGGAGGAGGAGAGAGGAGGAGATATGAGAAAGAACGAGAGGGATGTGAGCGAGGAGAGAGAGAGACAGAATAAGAGAGAGAGGAGGAAGATGAGAGAGAGAAAAGAAGAAGAGAGAGAGAAGGCATGCGAAGTAGGGAAACGAGGGAGAGCCAAGCGGAAAGAAAAGAAAGAAAGAGAGAGGTTAGAGAGAAAGAAAGAGAGAGAGAAGGCGGTTTTCGGACGAAAAGAATCGTGATACTGACGAGAGTCATTGAGAGAGAGAGGAAGAGGAGCGCGGAGAAGAGAGAGAGATAGAGAAGAAAGAAAAAGACGAAGGGCGAAAAGCGAGCAAGAGAGAAGACGGGAAGAGAAGAGATGTAAGAATGGAGAGGGGTGTAGTAGTAGCAGCACGATAGAGAGAAAGAAAGAGGAGCAGAAAGCAGAGGAGGGAGAGGAGGAGTATGATGAGAGAGGGAGAGACGAAGCATGAGAGACGAAGATCAAGAGGAAGATGAGAGAGCCGAGAGCTAAACCACCTAGGGGCGAGAGGGAAGAGAGGAGAGAGAAGAGAGTGGAGTAGCGACAGTGAGAAGACAGAGAGATGAGAGAGGAGAAAAAGAGAGCAAAGCGAGAAGAGGGAGAAGAGGAGGAGAGAGAGAGAGAGAGAGAGAGAGAAGTAGCAGTAGCAGTAGCAGCAGCACTCACGTTTCTCAGCACCTGCTGGCCGAGGAAGCTGGCAGCTACAGACGACAGCTTCTGCTTCGCGCCGACCTTGCAGCGAATGTATCCGTGCAGGTTCGCCCCCTGCAGCACGAGACTCACACACACCACCATCTATAAACAAGAGGCAGGAGCGATGAGCGCCACCTAGCGAGAATGCAGCGCGACAAGAGGTCATTGGGTCGTCGATCACGCCGCTGCTCGCATTTTGGGTGCGACATTATTTTCGAAAATGGCGACCTTGAAATTTGCCTCGCGTGCGAAATCTAGCGACCGGGTATTTTCCAATGTGAATTCCACGATTTTCTCCGCTTCTCTAATTTACTATAATACCTTATACCTATAATTAGCTTGTCTAAAAGGTTACTCGTTAATTCTTAACTTAATTACTTAAATTCCTTATCAACAGGAAGATGGGATCTGATGCCTGACCGATCGAATCGGCGAATTCTAGGCTACGTCCATTCCTCTCAGAACCTTGCCCGAAGGGACACAATACTCGCTCTACCCTCATATTCCTATCGAAAGTAAGATCACATCTGATGCGAATCGGCGAGGCAGACACTTACAAACCACTGGAACTTGAGGCCCACGAGGGTGCTAAAGAAGAACACGCACCAGATGATCGGGAAGATGACGAGCGAGAGCCAGAAGAGACGCGACTCGGCCAGCGTGTACTTAGACGTGCTCTTGTTCTGAAGCAGAACGGCAGACGACTCTTTATTGCATGTATTATTCAAATACAAATGCACTTGGTGAAAAACAGTCTTTAACATAATATACTCTTAATAAGTACTTTAATCTATACTTTAATGAGTCTTATATATACTTTAATTTATACAGACTCGTGTGAGCGTGATGTCATTCCAACTAGTAGTCTCTAGACTAATTAATCACTACAGATATAACTGTAAGTAAGAACTACAACTATAAATATAAACAAAACAACTACACTTATAACTATAACTACAACTACAACTACAACCAATAACCACAACTATGACTATTTGGATGCCATCTGTAATCACAAAACAATCGGGGCGTTAACATGACAGTGGCTCCCTCTGCAATTCGGCCGGAAACGTGCGCGACGCGAGAATTAGAGCAGCATAGATCGTTACTGCTGCCTTCGTTCGACACGACCCTCGTTATTCGACACAAACGTTAGAGACGCCCCGATCGCGTATTAAACGTAAACCTCACATGCAGACCTCGCCCCTCGCCCCTCCGTACGTTTCTCACGCATCTCGCGACGAATGAAATCGCTCGATAGCACTAACAAACGCGCGCGCCGACCGCCACCGACATTTTTCAGACGACACGACGCTGGTTAAATCTCTGCCATTTGCACGTGCGAAATCCCCAGCACAGACATGCAGACCAAGGAGCTAGATATACACAAGGAGAGGAAGCGCCGCTATATCCGGCCCAAATCTTTGCCATATTTGGTCATATTGGCCTGGAACAGATTAGTGTTCTATTGTCTCTGGGTTCGAGTCTGCACAGCCGTTTCAGCTGATTATGGTCCATAGATGGCGTCCTTGAGGCGAAAAGCACACAGCCAATCCGCTTCCTCTCCTTGTTATATTTAGCTCCTTGATGCAGACGGGTGGACGCGGGACCGCCCACTTACCTAGCGGTGATACCGCTCCCTATATATCTGCAGCGGTTAGAAAAAAAGAAGTCGAAAGCAAAATGTCAATAGTTTCCGCGACCGAACCGCAGGGCGCGCCGGCGATGCAGCCGGCTCTCTCCCGCGCCTCGATAAACAAGAGGACGCAACGCGTCACCTCGAGATCACGTTCGATAAACAACTGGCGGGCAAGCTTCACCAATATTTTATATCTCGCGTGTTGATTTGTCCTTTCCACTTCTCAAGGTTATAATGGCTGTATGCTATGTGTGTATATATATACTATATGTACGATATATATATATAGTATATATG